TAATAGAAATGTACTACCTGAGTTCTAGCCTAATCAGGAGCCAAAGAAAACACGTCTCTTCAGGGCTGAGACCAAAAAGAAACTGGGCATGCTCAGACCCTGAAGGGGCGTGGCGACTTTGATTGTTTGGTCTGATTGGGCTAGAGGACAATTAACACCCACACGTGGAGTCTACATTCCTCCCTTTGCTGGAGAATACAGAATTTTCTCAGAACTTCAGAATTAATCATTCAATCTAATTTTATCTATAATGAATACAATGTGCAGCAAACAAAAATATTTTAACAAAACTGGACCAAATGCCAAAAAACTGATTGCAAATGGAACATTTTTTTTGCATAAACTATAACCAGGTTTGCATTTATTAAAGCCATTAAAGCCAATCCATTAAAATGAACAGAGCTAACAGTTGAAAAATGTGAGAATTATACTTTCTGAATCTTAATTAAATCTAACAAAATGTTCTAAGGGAATCAAAAGGACTTAGTTCCACATAAAATAATGAATATTTTTATTAATAAATGTATTTGCTGCCCATCTCACCATGGGGCTACTCTAGCTGGTTTATATGTTCCTATCATTTGAAGATATCTTTTAAAAATTTAAATATCTGCCTAAAACCTGGACATATTATGTGCTTAAGGTTGTTAACCTGTACTTTTAAATGTTTTTCTTTATATTTTTCTGGCTAGACATCCTTGAGTCATATTCTGCCCATGACAAGAACACCTCTTTAAAATTGAGGGGAGAGAAAAAAAGAGAAGCAATATTTTCTAGACCAGAGTTCTTCAACCTTTTTGGCTTTGCAGACCGGTGGGGTGGGGAGAGGAGACGGTTCCATGGCAGGCAAGCGCGGATGCAGCTCCATTCACACGAGGGGTGGGCACGCACAGCTGTTGTTCACCCGCCACTCGCACGAGTGGGGATGCACGCTTGCATGTGTGCGTCTCCCCCCCACACTTCCACGGTCCAATTCTGAAAGGCTCAAGGCCCGGTAGTGGGCTTTGGCCTGGGGTTGGGGACCCGTTCTAGACTATGGTCCTCCAAACAATTGCAGAGGATTGTGGGACTTCTAAAACAGTAGGCAGTAATACAAGTAGCTGGTTGATAGTAAGGGTATCTGTAAATTTGTCACACATGTTACAAGTGCACAGAGAGGGAATATGATAGTGAATTCTAACTGCAGGGAAATGGCAGGGACAGGTTGCTGCCTTTATGCCTTAAATATGGATCTCCCTAAAAGCATTTTGCTTGCTACTGTGGGAAACATAATGATGGACTTTGGTTTGATTCTCATGTTTTTTAGAAAGAGACAGTGGTTCAACTGTTACCTGATAATTATCTATTTTTTAAAGTTATCCAATGCTTTTCAAAAGAAAGCAAAAATTTAAAAATATGATATATATTTTTAAATTAAAAATTTGTTTAGCTTTTTTCTTCTATAAATCATATCACAGTACATACTTTAATTTAAAAACGTTAACCTACTTGCAATAAGCAATTTGCTGACCTAAGCTAGTTGCTGGGTAGCAGCATCACTAGCCAAGATGAAAGTAAGGCATTTTCCACTGTGCAGAAAGACAAATGCTGAGCACATTATCTATTCAGATACCAGCTACTGAAATTTTCTGTAATACAAATAAAATGTGAATGGCATTGATATACCATTATAATTACCTAGTCAATATTCATAAAGAATCACACATTTCAAATATTAAAAATGTGGTGGAATCTCCGGCTAGAGTAGAGGAAGGAGTAAAGAGGCAGTTTAGCTTGGAGTCTCTCAGTGATAGGAAGCGACAAAGGCAAGACACATGAAGCCTTTATCTGCCAGTTTCCAAGAAAATGGAGTTACTCTGGCAAAAGATTAGAGGAATTACAATGAACTACTTTGGCCTAACCATGGAATTATTTTGGTTCCCTGCATCTGACAAAGTACAACTAAATCTAAGAAGAATTTTCTAAACAGTTGAAATGAGAAAAGCTTCTTAGCAGTACTCACATAGGCTTTTACAAAAGCATAAATCTAATTAATAGTTGAAAAGATAATTAAAAATGCACATCAACCAAAAACACAGCATTCTGTATAAACATATTAAAGAAAATTAATAATGAATTTGACTAAAATAATAACTTACCAATAAACATGCATAAAATCAAGCTACATGTTTGGAGAGAGAGACACAAAACTATTGACAAATAATGTCATAAAATACACTATACATACAGTAAAAGGTTGAGTTCAGAAAAATGCAGGATAAAACCAAAAAAAAATTCAGGTACTGATGAATGCTTTCTCTGTTTTCTAATAGGAATTGGTATTGGGTCTTACTTACAAATGTGAATCGAGCAACTACAGTTCTTTCTAACTGATTTTAATCTGCTATTCTGTCAAATTATAATAAATGATTGTTCAAATAGAAAATACCACTCAAAATGCTTAGCTAAAATAAAATATATTGATGAACAAAACCTTCGTGGAAGAAAAAATTATATTCACAGGCCATCTGAAGGCCAGTAAAGAATGACCAGAGTTTCTCAATATTTCCATGCCTAAGCAACACATCTGTCTCTGTCTCATGTCTATCTTCTGTAACTCTGATGACAGACAAAATGGCCTTTCAAGAAGGTTTTCTAACTTTGGGAAGTAATTCTTATGACAGGAGGCAATTCTTCCGATGAAAAACAATTGCTGTAACTTTTCCAGCTGTGGCAAACACAGACATTTTTGCTAGCATTACTTGCAACTGGGTGATTTATATCAGCAGCCCCCAACCTTTTGGGTGCCAGGGACTGGTTCCATGGAGGACGGTTTTTCCGCAGACCTGGGGTGTGTGGTTCCATGCACTGCCTGGATCCTGCGCATGAGCAGATGGAGCTTCATGGGCTGCAGACTGGGGGTTGGGGACCCCTGATTTATATGATACTTTTGTCCCACAAATACATATATGGAAGAGAACATGAGTAGAATTTTAGGAAGTATTTTCTATCTGGAACATAAAATATTCTAAATAGGAATTCCTTGAAGGATATAAAATTCTTTTTTTCCTCCAGGTTGTTATTTAAGAAAACTATTAAAAAGTGAGATGTTAAAGGACAGTGTGAGTAGTGTAGCTTTATGCAAACTTGTCTAGGATTAAATGTCTCTGAACACTTATTTCTCATACAGTAAATGTGCTTAGAGTTGCATTACTGTTATCCTTACCTGGCTTAAGAAGATGTGGATGTGTGAAAGGGCTAGGCTGACCTAGATATCGATTTGGAATCTTCTTTTGTTGAACTGGTTGAATGGATAATTTCCGAAAGAAACAAAACTTGCAGCCTAAAATGAAACGGCTGAATAGCATCAAACTGAATTGTTTCCCCCTTTGAATATGTGATAGAGCCAAAATGAAGTTTGCCATTCTTAAACACTACTCATCTCTTTTTGCTTTAAAGGTAAAAATGTACCCAACAATACTCATAGGTACTTTCCCATTAATAATATTATGAATACTTAAAAAAAACAATGGAAGTTCTAAAATAAGATTTTAATGTTTTTCATTGGCTGATTCTAATTGTTTGTCTTATACTTTGCATTTTTACTGATGTAAGTAACCTTCACTTATGGAATAACTATAAACATTGAAAAATAAGATGGTCAAGATAGGATGGTTTTTCAAAAAGTTCAGAATTGCAAATAACATTTAAAAAATCTTTCCAGGAATGTTTTTCCTGAACACTAAAAATCACACAGCAAGGTAAATGTATATATTTGGAATACACTATGCTTCCTAGGCAGTTATTAAACTAAGCAAAAATAACATTAAAAATTACCTAGATACTAACAATAACCTTCAATGTTTAATGTTCAATGCAAAGTATTAATATTTAGATTAGCAGATGGGAAAACAAACTGAAGAGAAGGGAAGAAAGTATCATTATAAGTATTTCTATAATTTCTTTTACTCATGGTTTATCAGTAGTTGTTCTTATTTTGTATATTTAACTTTCTAGCTGTCTGTTAAAAGCTTAAATTTAAAAATAAAAATATTTCTGACCTTGGCATTTATTTCCTTTACTAAGGTTGCAAATGCTATAAATATGGTACTGATTATATTTTCATTTATACAATAAATCACCCAATCTCCAGTTTAAATATTGCTAAAACATTTATGATAAACTACTAAGATATTCCAAAGAATGCAAAGATTACATATTGAAGTTATATTTCTAATAATTAATGATTTCTGATCCACTGAATGACATTTAATAGGGATAACAATGGGACATTATATACGAAAACAGTGATATTAATAATAGCTTTTTATTTATAGCAACTTTATCCTATTTTTCATAATTACTGTTGAAATAATCCTAAAGTGGTAAAAGAGTTGCAGTGTTTCTGTTCTTTGGTATAAAACAGGATTGCTATTTGACACTAAAAAAAATTTCAATCCAATTTTCAAAGTGCAACATTTATTCATACGGAGTCTAAAAAATTTAAGAGTTGACAAGCAGAGCACCTTAAATCTTTAAAACATTAGGGTTATTATGCTCTTTACATTTATTCACTCTTAAAAAAAATCCAAAACAAAATAGGTCAGTTTTGGATCTTTCTATTCTGGAGCCAAAAAGAGGGTGCTACAAGCTTTGTTTCAGTGGAAACAAGCAAATTAGTATTATTTAATATGTCTGATCAGAATAGAGGCATATTAACATCTATTTGAGAGTCAATTTGATACAATGGTTAAGGTATTTGGCTAGAAAGCAGGAGATCTTGAGTTCTAGGACCCCTTAGGCATAAAGCCAGCTGGGTGATCTTGGATCAATCATTTTCTTTCAGCGCTAAGGAGGAGGCTGCAAACTATTTCTGCCAAAACTTGTAAGAAAACTGTAGGGACTTATTTAGGCAGTCTCCAAAAATCAAACATGATTGAATGTAAAAAAAAATCCATTTAGTAAAAAAAAATCACAGAATGCTTGAACTATAAATATAATTTGTAGTTATGCATTTTATTTTTAGATGTTAATCCAAAGAAATGCCACAGAATGGAAAGGATCTACAGCTAAGTAAGGATTGCAGTATAAGGCTAATATTCATACAAGTGAAGTGTGTTAAAAATATTTTGTTTTAGACTACAATCTTATTCATACTTACTTGAAAGTATGTTTAGGATTCAGCTCAGTAGCCCAATTCACACATATCCCCAAGTTAGGTTTTTTTTTTTAAAATGTTTTGAAGAATAAATTATATTAGCTTAAGCTGCATTTAAACATTTTAGCTTACATGTTAATTAGGCCTTGAGTTTTTCTCCACTATAAGCATGCATAGGCTCAGGCTATATTTACAATTCCAAAAACAAAAAACCCAACTCCAAGATTAAACCTTGGAAAAATAAATAATAAACTTAGGGATTGTTATATCTTATTTTATAACACACTTCACAAGGCACATGAAGGCATATTTCAGCTGAACCAATCCCACTGATTCCCAGTGGAAAATGTGCAACCACCTTTTTTTTCCTCCTCTTTATTGAGATTTAAAACTTCAGCTTAAGTTTCTGGTAATATTTTGTTAGCAATTTCGAAACCTAAATTGACCAGTTTCTTGAACTTCTATTTTAAACAGAAGAAACGTTTCTTTTATAAGAGATTTCCATAATACTACCGTGGTCTTCAGAATATTTTTTTTTATCCTACACGAAATCAGCTACAAGTATCATAGTTGAAACTGAGACAGTAAAAATACCTTTTTAAATATGCAAAGTGGAGGGGGTACCTAAAATAACTAGCTTTCGCTCTGCTTAGAATTGTTCTTTTATGTATAATCAAATTAAGTCTCTGACCTGAAAAGTTGCATTTGACCCTTACAGGTTGGATAAGTCTCTGAGCTGGCAACCACACCATAGCTGAGCTCCCTGCCTGCAAAGAGAGTAATCAACGCTACGGGGCGATCTCGGAAGAAATCGCAACGCCCCAAGTCCTGATCTTCCCCCACTTCGTTCTAACACTCTTTCCTGACTCCCAACCCTGAAGCATGGCCAACTAGTACACTAAGCTTGATTTGAGTTCGCACGTTTGAAGGACCTTGCTTCCACTGGGTCGGCACATAATGACGTCACCGTCCATCGTAACCCGCTATTTTGTATTTCGCCTCTTGAGTTTCGGCGAGTGACTGGCCATTATATTTTAGGCGACTAAATAAATGCCTGCTTGTTCAAGTGCTTCATTCATTCATTTTTCCTACCGTCGTGGCTAAGAAAGACTAGAGCCGGTGAATTCATTGCTCTGACTTTAACGGGCCTCGCCTCATGGACTGAATCAAAGCGGAAAAGCGTGAGTCCAAAGGCAACGGAAAGAGGCAATATCCAGGGCAACTCAACTTTCGTTTCTAGAAGATTCTGGACCCCGCTGCCAAAACCTAGGGCGAATCGGGGCGGTTCAAGAGGAGGCGGGGTAGGAGGAGGAGCTTCGGCGGCGCGGGGAGGGTAGAGCGGCAAGAGCGGGAGTCGCTTCCCAGGGAAGGGTGCCAGAGGGCGTGGGGGAGCCGTTGCACCGTGCGGCGCGTGACGACAAGGCCTGTAGTGGGGAGGGGGGGGGATAGGAGTAGGTTGGGAGCTCCGAGCGTTTCTCCCGGAGAGAAGCTGTGCTGCGAGGCGGCAGCGACCGCGACAGGAGCGCTCTGGCCATGGACCCGCAGAAGTTGAGCGAGCTGCGGAGCTTCGTGAAGCTCTGCAAGCAGAATTCTGCCATCTTGCACTCCGAAGAGATGGTCTTCTTCCGCGAGTGGATAGAGAGGTAAGCATGGAGCCAGCAACGGCGAGCCCGAGCGGAAAGCAGGTGGGGCTACTTACTCCTGCTTCTTTTACTGCTGCCCCTTCCTCCCCCCCCCCCCCCACCTGTGGTTAAAGTTGTTGAAGTTGGTCCTGGGACGGGTGACTATTTGGGGCTAAATTATTTTGATCTCCCTTTAAAAGGGCGGCACGAATTTGCCTCTCGTGGGATCGCCTGTAGAGCTTGAGAAGCAAGGGTGGTTGGATTACAGAGAGTTACTCATACTTGTTTAAATAAGTCGTTTTAGAGGGCGAAAAGTTTAGGTTGATCTCACGTTGCCAGGCGCCGCCTTTAATTTGTGTCTGTCGCAAATCAGAGGCGGTTTGAGGAACGTAGTACCGAGTTTTTAATGGCAGGGCCTAGTCGAACGATTGAAACCTGGCCTCTCTGTTCAGTTAGTCAACTCATACCACACACACACACCCCCCCAGATCTAGGAAGGTTTACGATTCGCAAGGATCTTCCATGTGATTTAACTTGCCTAGTGCCAGGGGTAGGCAACCTTGGCTCTTTTATGACTCGTGGACTTCAACTCCCAGAATTCCTGAGCCAGCCATGCTGGCTCAGGAATTCTGGGAGTTGAAGTCCACGAGTCATAAAAGAGCCAAGGTTGCCTACCCCTGGCCTAGTCTGTTCGCCTGAGAAAGAATACTTTATATGAAGGAAAGGATATTTTAAAACCTTTCTGTATCATATTGAAGGGATTTTATTATGCTTAAGTTTGATGTTAGTAACATTGATATTAGTGACGCTTTGTAATATCCCTTCAATATCTATATGCAAAATTATATTGGAGTTGTGTGTCAGTTGCTGGAGCTATAGATGTGATGGTGGTCAGGGTTAGTGCTCCAACATGGTCACAAAACAAGCTCTGGTATCTTAAGTGACAAGTACATTTCTTGGAGGTTTTTTTTTTCTATTCTTAATCTTTTCTCTGCGGTGAAAACAACTTTAAAGTTGCTTAACCGTAGAAGACTTATTTTTTTCCATGTGAAAAGAAAGTTGTCTCAAATTATATATTCCATAATAAGCAGGAAAACCTCACTAAAGCCTAATATAGAATTTAGGGATCAAATGTTATACAATTCTCCTCAACTTAATGATAACAATTGAGCCCATAACTTTTGTCGCTAAGCAAAAGAGGTTGAGTTGTTGCCAATTTTACACACTTTTTAGCTGGGTCATGAATGGGGGAATTTGGCTTCCCCCATTCATTTTGCTCATCAGAAACCTGCTGGGAAAGTTGCAAATGGCAATCCCAGAGACCTTGGGACTCTGCCATCATGGCAAATACATGCCAGTTGCCAAGCACTGGAATTTTGATTGCATGACCATGGGAATGCTGAGTGGGTCATAAGCCATTTTTTCAGTGCCATTTTAACTTTGGTCATTAAATGAATGGTCATAAGCCAAGGGCTGTCTATAATGCTATGGAAACGAGCTTCCTCACAATAATAAATGCTCTCTGTTTGTTTACCCATTTCACTTTATGCAGCCACTTTTTCAAAATTTGTTCTTTGACAGTAATTAAGGGGTTAGAATAGCTCCTCTGTGAGGAAAGACTGTAGAATTCAGTATAGAATTCAGTATTTATGTAATGGCAATTTGCATAGTTTTAATAGAACACTGGATGAATTCATGGAGGGTCATGCTATTAGAGGCCATTAATACTGCCAGTTGTTCTGTCTCCTGTATCTTAGGCTGCATGGTTTATGTACGGATTGCCAGCAATTGTGGAAGAATGCCATCATTTTAGTTTAGATTTATGAACTTTGCAAATACATCCCATTCACTTCTGCACAACATTGAATGTTGGATTTACAGCCTGCAGCAGCAGGATTCTTATCTCTTAGTTGCCTCATATGTAGCTTGAGAGCGGTCAGATTCTTCTTTATACAGCCAATTACAAGGACATTTTCATATTCTAGTAACAAACCTCATTAAATTGGTTCTACAAAAAGAATGAAACCACAAGTGCAGACTTTAATGGCCCCATGACATTGCAAAAGCAATGATTTCAAACTCGCATTGAAGAGCCAGGCTGTAGATGAGACGTTCCATTATGTTTCTGGCTGTAGCTAAAGTGATGAAACTAGTTCAGCCTTTCCCATCTAGGGTCTTCTAGATCTGTTGGGTTTCAGTTGTGTAATCGCCAAC